TATATATATATATATATATATACGTAAATTAAAAAGTCCTTCCGAAGCGGGTGACGAGATTTCGATTTCGGCTGCCGACAGCTTCTTACGGGCGACCCCCCAACCAATCTTTTTCTTTCTCTTTTTTATGCCGACATGAATTTGATTATTTCATTCTAGCAATACAAGCAAGTCAGGTATATTATCTTGGATATCCTCATAGAGCAAGAGATAAAGTTGACTGAGAAGTTGTCATAACAAGTAAACCTAGACTGACTATTTATATTCATAATACTATTGAGCTCACTCATCAAGAAATAGAAATGACGTATTTATGCACTCCAGCCGATGCTATGCATGAAGAGCTAAATTTACATGATTTTACTTGTGAACACCAAGAAATTACTCTCAGTGATGAGTACGATTCTGGCGATGCTTTGGACGAAGAAAGATTAACTATATCCTCAGGTCACTCAACACACGAGGCAGACTAAGATGTATAAGTTACTATCAATATTGTATGCTTAGTACGTCGCCTCCTATTTATTGCATAGTTTTGTGTTTTCAGTTTCAGTAGTTTGTAGATTGCACTTTATATTTTTTATTTTATTTACTTCGCAGTTTTTAGTTAATCAGTTTTAGCAATTTTTGAATTGTAATTTATACTATGGTCTTCTATTGACTATGTAGTTTTGTGTTTTCTGTTTCAATAGTTTGTAGATTATACTTTACATTTTTATTTTTAATTAACAGCGTAGTTTTATATGTTTAATTTTAGTAGTTTGTATATTATACTTTATACATTTTCGTCTTCTTTTTACGACGCAAATTTGTGTGATTAGTTCATGTAGTTTTGTGTTTAAAGTTCTATGCACTAATTAATTTTCCTTTCCTTATTGCAAATGGCTTCTGCAAGAAGGAGCGATCTCCCTCCTAGTAGGATACGCAGCACAGGACAATACCGGACGAAGGTCATCGTCGGCCGAGGCGGTCGACTCTCCGTACTTATCGTGGAAAGAGATCCCAATGACAGTTCGTGATATGTGGTTCCAGAGTTTAGGGCACATATATATTGAACACAGAAACTTAAGTTATTTATATTTGTTTATCAATCCAACTTTTTTTAATTTCATTTTGCAAAAAACAGTTCTCCTGGCGTCTTGAGCATGAGACCTATATATGGAGGAACTTCGAGCACAATGGGAGCTACCATCTTCGTGGCATGTTCGACGAAGCACAGAAGTAGTGTCAGTGCCCCATATGGCTTGGTGTGGAGTTATTTGGGTCACTGCTTAGGGCTTGGGATTCTCCAAACAACCGGAAGAAAAGCGAGCAGGCCAAGCAGAATTGGCGCTCTGACTGCGGAAGCTTGGGTTCTTTAATCAAACTGGTGGAGTGCTCTCACATACAAAGTATAAGAGGAGGCTGGTAAGAGTTAATTTTTGTATTAAATATTATTGTAACTCAAATATGTATATGTTAATAATTTCATTACAATGACAATCTGCTGAGTTGGGACAAGAGCTCACCGTCGAGTTACACTTGCACACCCATGAGCGGCGTTTAGAACAGGTCTGGATCAACAACAAATCCCAGGCGATCCAAATAATTCACAAGAGTAACTAGTATATAATTCAAATAAATCTTGAAATTTATTTAGTCTCTAACTTTCCTTAATAATTTTTTTTTATGAGACCTTCCATAAGCTGAAGAAGAGTCTAATTAAGTCGTCAAGTGATATTATGATCTCAGGTCGTGATTCATCCGAGTATGAGTTGTGGAGGGAGGCTAACAGAGGCAAGAAGAAGGGGGTCAGGTCTACAGGTTGGGGTCTCAGGCATAGTCTACGACACTCATCCCGCCACCAACGCATTTGAGGCATCCACTTCTATCTCCCAGGCGGAGATTTGTAGGCAGGTTGTCCTGTTCACTGCAGACAATGAAACCAAAGTTGCCGCCCAACTCACTCAAATTAGGTCGGAGATCAGGTCAAAGATGGAGTTTAAAATAAAATCAGAGTTAGAAGCATTCTGACATTGGGTAGAACAAGAAGGCAAGTAGCCGGTAGTGAATTATTTTGAGGAGGATGATGTAGAGGAGATTGAAGATAATAAGAGACACTTTTATTTCTATTTGATTATTTGAAATAGTTTGTGTGAACTTCTTATTTTGTTGTAATATTTTTTTTATTGGATCCATGCATTTTTACTATTTTTGTATTTACTTTGTGTTCATTATTGTTATTTTAGTTTAATAACTATTTAGATTGGTAAAATGTGATGTGTTACATTACATTGGATTTGTATGGATTACGATTGCGAGTGTAGAAATTAAAAAAATGAAGAATGATACTTTTTCTGATTTTTTAAAGATTTCCGACAGCTTTCGAATGGAAATCCGACAATACTAAATAAATTTTTCATGTTATCTGATGGCTAATTTCCATCGGTTAGTATGTCGGCCAAAAACCATCGACCCTTCGACTGGCTATTGATGAACCGACGGCACATTCTGATGGCCTATAAACCCACAAGCAATTGCAATTTTCCACTTATGCTCTAGTTTACCAACGACTTAAATCGTCGGTAATACCGATGATTTATCAGCGCATTACCAACGATCACACTCTTCCAAGTCAGATGGTTTTTGGACCGTCGGTCATGATTCTTACCAACAATTTATATTTCATCTAATATTTACAGACATAGTTCGTTTAAAAACCGACAGAAGATAAAAGTCGTCGAAAGATCCATTGATTTTTAATTACCAAGCCGTTGGAAATATATTATCTAATGGTTTTTTAATATTAACCGATGGCTTTTGACCTGGTTTTTTAATATTAACCGATGGCTTTTGACCATCAGAAATAGGTTAAATTCCTATACTGTGCTGGCGCGACATCTAAGGTGCTACTTTTCAATATTGCTAACAGTTAAAGAAAAAAAATAAATAGGGGCATTTACATACATACCATACAATTTTTATATATCTACATATCTAACAACTAAACTTTAATATTTACAAGCATACCACTCAAATTTTTAACATTACATCAAAAGTGCCACTATTACTAAATTTTAAAAAATAAAATATAATTTTTCATACATAGGTTTATAACTCTAGAGTGTTATAAATGTAAATATCAAGCTTTAGGTGTTAGATATGCAAATACATAAGAATTGTGTGGTATGTATCTAAATTTCCCAAATAAATCTGATCACAATGTTCAAATAACTACCATATCCTTATACCCACCTTGAGAGTCCTCATGTAATTTCCAAGATCACGCAAAAGGCCCTCTTTCTGCTCCGGCCGGAAATTTGGTTCAGAATGTATAGCCCGGTCATAGCTTAACAACCGCTCCTTTGTAATGCCGTTTTCATTCAATGTTTTCCAATAAACATTAACATCAAAGTTAAATTTAACATAGTCGATCAGTGCCTGCAAGAAGAATATGTTCCTGTTAATTAATGTCAAGAGGTCACGCCTAAAAATCAAGTTCATACATCAAGTACCTGACAAATTACAACATCATCAGGACTAGTGTTATTGTGCAGCTTCTGATGCCATTCCTCCATCATACCACCTTTGCAATCATTATTTCTCTGCAATAAACAACATAAAGTCAGTTTTACCATATCCAACTGGACAAAATGGATAAAAAACACTCGAGTTGAATGTCATGTATTGCAAAGAGCAGCATTTAGAGAATAGTTTTCCTATCAAAAAAAGAAGATTTCCATACATACCACACAATTCTTGTGTATTCACTTATCTAACACCTAAACTTCAATGTTTGCATACCGTCGTAACTATGCATGAAAAAAGGTATTCACTTTTTTAGAGTCAAAATAGTAGTTGTTTTTTATGAAAGATTTGGGTGACATGAATGTAAAATGTAAAGTTTAGGTGTTAGATATTTAAATACATAGGATATGCTCCGTCCGTCCTCCCCAAAAAAAAAAGGTTGAAGGTTATTATACGAAACGGAGCCCGGGCCGTCCCTCATGCGCCTATAATTCGAGTACCACACATTACACTTGAGGTGAATCGAACTCCAAACCAGAGGGAACTTACAACTGTCATGCAGATACTCGATATATATATATAAAGGAATAGGCAGATGCTATGATACGAGCTCCGGTCGTCCCTCATGCGCCTATAATTCGAGTACCACACCGTACACTCAATCGAACCTCGGACCAGAGGGGACCTACAACTGACAAGCAAATGCCCGGCATATACAAAATAACAAATACCTGAATAACCAAGATCTCATCTCTAATGCGCTGCCCCACATCACCTTCACCACCGCGACCAACAGTAGACATGATAATCCTCAAAATTTCCCTATATGAAGGGAAACCACTGTATATATCTTGAAGCATGTCGGTAAGCCTATCTTGAGCTTTACTTATCTCACTGCAACAATGACAGCATTTTATGGAATAAGAAATAGATAAAAGTGCAATACAAAATATATAAAACAGGGGCAATTTAATTCACTAAACTTTAACAAATAATTTATCCGAGAGCTATGTAGAAGCATAAAACAAATTAAGATCATGTCTCACTGCATATCTAGCATCTAATTATTTATTTTACTCACCAGCCACTTAATTCTTTAGATAACATAAAAAATATCAGTCTCTTACAGTCCCATTAACTTCAAACTTATCATCATGTTCCCATCACAGAGGTGTCAAAACAGGAGTTGTTGTCATCAATGGAGAGAACGAATGAAACAACCAACCTATCTACTTTGCAATACTCAGACTAATACCAAAAACAAGTTCTTGGGAATTCTAACTTTGAGTTATCAAGTTAGATGAGTCTGTGGCTCTCACACTCCCATTATATTCCAACTTATCATCTCGTTCCCAAAATGTAAGTGCCGGAACAAAGCATGGTGTCAACAAACGAGACAACCAACAGTCTCCTTCCTGTCACTCTTACTACAGCCAAAAACAAGATCTTAAACGGTTGTAGAATTGACTTTGATATACCCATAGCTCACGCTGTACTGCCACCAATCTAGCAACTTAAGTGCCTAAACTCAAAGCTACCCTTCGAAACCGCAAAAGATCCTCCACCTCAAACAAGATTGATGAAGATGATGATTCCAGTTGGCTGACCTCCAAGCTGATTCATCCTCCTCCATACGGGTTTTGCCTCTGCCGATGTGGTCACAGTTAAAGACGGAAAGGTAGGATACAATTTGGTAAAAGATCTAGTCCTTCATGATTTGGTAATAGACTAGGATCAAACTTAATAAAAAAAAATGTATACTCAAATATTATTTATCCTCACTAACAATTTCTGTTGGTGCTGCCTTTGAGAGCTCCGCAACATTGTCAGATTCCTCAAAGTCGGGCTCTTCATCCATTTGGAGTTCTACACTGACAACATCTCCCGTTGGCTACGTTGCCCTGGGTTGAACACCGTGGTCGACCCAGTGAGTCGAACAATCAACTTAACTTGCACGATGTATGTTTTGCATGTGCATTAGTGTTGCTTGCATTATATTTTGCATAGTTATCATCGCATGCTTGAGTTGCATTTTGAATGTTCATTCACACACTCATCCCACTTGGATGATTCTCTCCAGTGAGAATCATCATTCTCTTGAGTCAATGCCCTTTGCAGTACACTCGCTCACTTGGGCCAATGCTTCCACGGCACGCCTGCACCTTTTGAGTCAATGTCTTCCCGGTACACTCTCCACTTGAGTCAATGCCCCTTGTGGTACACTCATTCTTTTGGGTCAATGTCTCCACGGTATGCCCACTCTTTCAAGTCACTGCCTCCACGACACACTCATCCATTGGGTTGTCGCCTCCACGACACATCCACTATTTTGTGTCATTTCCTCCACGACATACACATCCTTTGGGGGCTGCCTCCACGGCACGCTTACCCTTTCGAGCCAATGCCTCCGCAACACACCCATCTTTTGGGTTGTGGCCTCCACGGCATGCCCACCCTTCAGGGTCCCTACCTCCATGACTCATTCGGATTGCTACCTCCACGGGATGCTCACTCTTCTGGGTCACTGCCCCTATGTCATACTCCTTCCCTTGAGTCGCAGCCTCCACGGCATGCTCACTTCCGAATCACTGCATCCCAAGCACACTCAGCCCTTCAAGGTGGCTGCCTAGACGACAAACCCATTCATTTGGGTCGTTGTCTCCATGGCACATTCACCCTTCCGAGTCACTGCCCCCACGACATACCCATTACCTTGGGCCGCTACTTCCACGGCATGCCCACTTTCGAGTCACTGCACTCCGTGCACACTCAACCCTTATGGGTCACTGTCTCCGCGACACACCCAATCCTTTGGGTCACTGCCTCCACTGCATGCCCACCATTCCAGGTTACTGCCTCCATGACACATTCATTGTTTTGGATCATTGTCTGCACTATACACTCACCCTTCTGGATCACTATCTCAACGGCACACCAATTCCTTTAGGTCGTTGCCTCTACGACACTCCCACCCTTACGGGCCACTACCTCTACGACACACCTATTCTTTTGGTTTGTTGTCTCCATGACACACCCATTTTTTTGGTTCGTTGCCTCCATAGTACGCCCGTTCCTGAGTCATTACTCCACAGCACACTCCTCACCACTTCTATCATATGATTGTTTGCATTTTTATATGTATGTGTGCATGAATAGCGAGTCAAGCTCGATAGGCAAGTGACCATGTGTTTGTCGCAATGTCTTAACAAGCATTGTTTGTCGGGTCGATCCCAGCTAGCAATGCGAGTTAAAGCATTCAGATTGACATGAGTATAACTGTACTAAATATCCAAAGGATCTAACTCGAGCCACATTGCATGTTACATGTCTGTATTTAATGACCTTTATTTAAAACTATATATATATATATATATATATATATATTTAAAGGGTGGCTGGAAATAGCCTTTGATATATATATATATATTATTCTACTTATTACATCTGTCATAATCTTAAAATTATGCATGTAGAAAGTTAGATCATATTTAAGGCCAACCTTTTTCAAAATTCATCATAGGTGACACCATCTAGATCCCATGGATCTTTAGGCAAGGGTTGGTGTGGCAACCCCTTCATACATACCCGGAGACTTACCCTGATCACTTAGCTGTTGATTAGAACACCTTCTCGTTAGATTGCGTGCTAGGCTAAGATTTATGGTGTTAGGTAATATTTTCGACGCTGCTGGCTATTGTCTCTGCTGATTTGAATGTTCTAGCAAAGCATCACTTTTGTGTGTTTTTTGTGTGCTTGTATATTTGAAATGAATGATAGTATATTAGGGCATTCTTCTACAGGAAGTCATGTGTATATATATGCACACACGCACATGTAGCATTAAGGGAGAGCAGGTAATGATTTCTACTAACTCTTTGTTTGCAGATGTTATTTAGTTCCACCGACAAAAAGGACACGGCTCAAATACGATTGCATGAGTTAACCCGTGCCTACAATCTTCTGCAAGTTGAGTTTATTTTCTCTTTCAAATGTATTTGATAGTCTCTAGGCTGAGTTTGTGGAAATAAGATACGGGCACAAATTTTAATAAGGACGATGCCTCCAACCATGTGACGAGGACCAGGAGCAGCAGCTCGTGTCATGTATCTTAAGTTTGAATTCTATATTTTTTTATAGATTTAGGATCGGGCATGTATATGAGGAGTTTGGCCGTCTTTCCAGTTTTTTCTTAGGATACGTCGCCGACCAAGCGGCATTGGCTTTCCTTAAATATTTTGGCGTGTTTTACTTTATAGTGGATGTTTGCAAGCTTGGATTGTTTTCCCCGTTTCTTTCGGGTTTGTCTGGGATGTTACGAAAATTATAATCTTGGCTCACTAAGGATATTAAAATTATAAATTTTCTATTTAAAATCCTAATAATAAAATATTGAGAAAAGCAAAATTATCATTGTCAGGATTTTCAAAAATCTGTTTTTACTTTGTTACACAGTCTTCGCGCCGGATTTTAAACGGGTTGTATAGCATGGCTCTCACCCAAGCTATAATTAATAGGGCCTCCACAATTAAGACTTATTAGCTAACTGTATTATATGCAATGTCCCAAGAAGAAGCCCCTGTGCTTCTTCAACCCGACTGACCCAGCATAAATTTTTACTTAGGTGGTTGTCTAGTGCGCTTAGGTCGTTACAAGACTCTCCGACCCAGACGAGGTGTAAGTCCTTTTGTTGGTAGTGTTTCCAGCTTCGTAGTTGAACCTCTCTTTCTCTTATTTCCAGTGGCATTCTCACCATTTCGACAGGTATAAGTCTCACCGCTTGAAACTTGATCTAATAGTCATAAGATAGAGTTTCATTCATTTGACATTGGGGCTACCGAGATCCCCAAAGACGACGCAATTCACGGATTGCTGACCGGGGATCTCTGGACCTGTTGGGTCGACTACCTTCACGACCGGGTAGACATAGGGTCCTAGTGACTTGGGATGACGGGTATGTGGTGTCCCGACCTGGCTAACTCTATCTTATAGGGATTACTCCTTTTTTTTTTAATACTCCTACTGTGCTCTGGAGCTCATATTGCCTTCATTGGTGTCATCTCAACGATCTGATTACGAATGAGTTGTTGCCCGATTGGGATATGACAATTTGTCACTTGCCCATATGACCCAGATGTGCTTTAACTTATTAGGATTCCCCGTCATGTTGATTCAGTTATTTCACAGGCTCTGTATGTTGATGGGTCGGTTATCCATCTAGAACCGTGAGAGACTCACTCTCCGCTCTATGGTTTAGCGGGAGCTTTTAAAGCATCGAAATATTTTCATGTCGACATAATTGTTCTGTGATAGCCCTATGTTGGTCGCCACTTTAAATGTAAACAAAGCTTCGTGGATCAGGAGTATTTTTGGGCAACCGTAAGATGTAATTAACATAGTGAGATGCGTCCCCTTGAGAGCACTCTGGATCGAGAACAGGCAAAAATATCTGAATCTCTGATTGTTGGTAGCTATTGTAGGCATTCTTTCGCGAATATGTGGCACAAACTATTTTGATCCAATCTTGTTCCGACGTATATGTTTGATCTATCCTAGCGAAGTTTACCGGATGAAAGTTCTCCAAGTTCTTTCTCTTGTTTGTCTACCTTTGTCATTCTCTTCTCCTAATCATTCACATAATCCGAAAGAGAGACATATTCGGACAGTTAAGTATATGACGATAGAAAAACTTACGACTACTTCAAATAAAAAGAGAAAAAAACAAAAACACTGTCGTCTGCAACAAAGATTGGTCGAGATGGATGACGAGACACATGAGGAGATTACGTTAGATCAGGATCTGGAGAATCAAAGGGGAGCAAGAGACGAGGATCTGAATCCCTTTCATAGGGAGAACTTTAGTGATGCAAAAGACCGACCATGACACTTTAAAATCA